GGTTTGATGGGTTTAAGTCCTGATGACCATAGTCTTGACCTAAACAGCGAGAATAAATTAATTGAGTTAGCACCTGATTTTTCGTACTGCGGACTTAGTCACGTTTAGGAGACGTTAGTGATGAAATCGAAGAACGAAGGTGCGTGTAAGACTCCAAGTTTTAATTCCTGACCTTTCGCTTCAGAATTTCACAACGAAATATCATAAGCCTTAATTCTTGATTCTACGCACCGTGTCCCGAATTTCGCGAACTTCGCGAACTAACTAACATACCAACTAACAGAAAAACAGTAAAGTCAAAAATACTTGTTCAAAGAATGTCACGCGCACGCGAAACTTGTTACATTAGTCGAATTTTAGTTGAGTTAGTGAAATTTACATTTAAAAGTTGGATGAACTTGAATAAAAAAGAGAGTTTAATATTGAGCACTCGCGGGCCTGTTCAAATTGGGAAACACTGAAAATTGTGCCACTACATCACAACTTCTGATTTTGCACCCACCTGCTATCTTACATGTGCATTTGTTGTTCACAAATCCAAATCCTGTTTTTAAGCTACAGCTGTTGCCATTACAGAACTGGCAAACGGAGTTACAAGTGAAGGGTGTAGCTACACACTGGCCACTCGAACACGTGTCTCCACGGGTGCATTTGTTGCCGTCATCGCACGCTACGCCATTATGATTTGACCACGTACTGGTGCTGCTGCTTGGATTACACCACTGGAAGAAAAGAAATACCACAGAAATGTTTTTAAGTGTGGAGTGGATAAAACTATTATTGGATTTTAATAGACCAGAGATGCAATACATCATGATGGCCGTTCTTTACTCCTGTAAACTCATTTTTTTTTCAAGTAGCTCCAACTGCTCTGTACTTGCGCTGGTGAGCTTCTCGCGCAGTAAAGCAAGGTGACGCACTGAACCAATCTGGTCGGACACTAACTGAACACCGTAAACTTCCGCTTATAAGCCCTGGGTTTATGGAACTCCGTGAGGGCTTTTTAGTTGGGCTGAGAAAGGGAGCGGCTTGTCGAGAATATGATTACGTAGTAAGGGTGTGACGCTGTTAATATTTACATAAAACTGACAAGAGGCAAAAGAAGAGATCTTTTTTTTTTACACGCGGGATCGAGTTGAACGAGCGAGTAATGAAAAGTGTATATCGAGAGTGATTAGCGTTGAGCTTGATGTAAGCCTGTATTGAGGAATTAATCAGAGCATTAAGGCAATTCACAACACAAGTGGCACCTCCGACGGGACAAGACGAAAGTGAGAGTGCTCGAACAAGAGCAAGAATCCGACCCGAGCAAATATGACGGAGAAGCAAATAGCAGAGTTGGACACCAAAGTTAAAATGCTTTACTTCAAGCTCAACCAAACCGACGAGATAGTGGAGAAACGAGAACGACAATCTTTAGAGCGCCACCAATCATCGATTACAAGTATTGTTAGTGCAGTGGATACGCTNACATCGTCTAAACAAAACTTACTTCCTCCGATAATCAGGTTCTTCAATCTCATTACCTTCCTTCTCAAAGTCGATATATCAACATATTGAGAAATTATAAGCTGATCAGTACTGCGTATGCAATAGTTGTTCACTATTTTACCTGGCAAGGATATCCGGGGCGGATGGCTCCATGGTTAAAACATTTTCGTGTCCCGCCATCGTTGATCACACAGTATCCTGGTTTCACGCGGCACGCGTCATTGTAACACTCTTCACATGGAAGGCATGTGAATGGCGTTCCAGAGCAGACACCATTTGAACACCGGTCATTTTTAGTGCACGCCTTATTATCACTGCACGACAAAGTGTTGTTGTTTCTCCAGGCTAGCTTGCTGGCGCTGTTACAATCCTGTTGAATAGCAATATATATTTATGCAGGTAAAGTTATTTCTTGAGAACAGCATATCACTCATTCTCTGATATTGTCCTCTGCTATGCCCCAACCTCCCCTTCCCCCCTCCCCCCCCCCCCCCCCCCC